TTAACAGTGGAGCCAGTCTCAAAAAAAAAAAAAAAAAAAAAAAAAAAAAAGTGATTTTTCAGAAAGGTGTGCATTGCTTTCTGAGCTCTGGGACTGGACTCAGTTATTCTCCAGGAATTGCTCCATAATCTGGAGAGTGAGAAGGATAATTATTTTTTTTAAATTCATTTTTTACCTGTTTCTCCTCTCGTCCTTGGAGCTGGAGGCTCCTAAAATGATGGTGCTTTGTCCAACCTGCCTTGAAGATGCCGTCCTGTCTGGTGTCACTGGCTGAGCATGGGAGGGCTCCTCTGGTCATGCTCAGGATGTTTGGTTTCAGCTGCCCAAATCAGTCCCTGCTTGTGACCTTTGCCAGCCCCAGCTGGGGAAAGCGCCCAGTTCACAGTGGGGATACCCAGGGCAGCTCCATCCCCAGCATCCCCACAGATTCCAGCTGCTCCTGGCCTATGAATGCAACCTGCAGCACAGAGGTGTCCAAAAAGGAAAACATCCCCATGTTCCTGGGCAGCTTGTTGGTGCTGGCTGGGTTTGGAACAGAATTTCTGCTGGGGGGAGCCAGGAATATTCACAGTCGCTGTCTCAGCTGTGCAAAAATAAACCAACCCAGCTTGCAGCTGCATTTCTGCCCAGGATGGCCTCTCCAGGAGAGAAGAAAGCCAGGGAAAGGACGTGACCAGAGGAGATGGAGGTGACTGCGGTGGGTTTCTAGCCTCTTCAGAGCTGATAGTCTCCTGTGCAAAATTCCCCCTCCTGCTGCCTTTAAAGCAGGTGGCTCAAAAGTAACTTTCCAGCTGCTTGCCTTCAGTTGTGCAACCACCACCTATGCAGTCAAAACTTTGGGTAGGTTTTCTTCCCTCTAGTGACTTGGGATCTTTTTTTCTTTACTTGTTTTGATGGGTGGAACAAGAGCTGTGGTCTTAAAGGAAACCAGCCCCTCTGGGAACCCGAGGAGGATGCCTGAAGTGCATGGGGGATATTTTCCTGCTCCTGGGAACGCAGAGAGCTTGGGCTTGGTGGTGAGCATGGGTGTGAGGAGGTGCTCTGTCTCCAGCTGTGCCTATGCTTGCTCTCCTTCAGGATGCTGTGGTGGGATTTTCAGTCAACTGGGATTTACTGCTGCTCCGTGCCTGTGCCCTGGGACTCCCTCCTCACCCCGGGGGAGTCACTGCAGTCAACCAGAAAGTACCCGATGTGTCCACTGCCCAGTGCTTCTGCCCTCGCCTGCCCCCCTGGCAGCTTTGCTCTGCCCTCCCAGATATTTAAGGGTGTATTTTAAGCTCTGAGACATAGAAGGGGCTGGCATGCTCCCTGGATGAGAGTCCCCTGTCAATACAGTGGTTTTTATTTTAAAGAGCAAAGCCCCAGCACGGCGGGGCTGGGAGGTGGCAGTGGCTTGGGCACTGGCCTTGGCAGCACTGAGCTCTCCTCTGCCTCAGGTTTGGGTTTGGGGTGATGTGTGAAAACAGATGGTAGGGTAGAGGGGCATTCAGAAATTAATTAGCTCAGGATTTATTTTTTCCCCAGTTGTATTTGGCCTTCTTTATCCTTGCTTTATAATCTTCGAATCCAGGCAGGGAATTCAGCTCATATATCCAATATTATTTTCCAAAGGATACTGATTTTTATTTTTTTTTTTAGTGCAAGCCCAGCCTGTTGCATTCCCCAGTTTGCAGCACTGGGCGTTCAAAGGGCGTTGTCTGATGCAAGAGTGATTTGGAGTGATTCTGCAAAACCCAGCTGATCTGCTCTCCATCCACCATCCCTACCTGATGGGTACATGAGCCCTGGGCTTGGTTAAAAGTGGCTGCTGGGGTGTGCTTCATGCACCATTAAATAAATGGGGTAGGCAAGATTCCTAGCTAGGTATTTATTCTCTAAGTGCATTCCTTATGGATGTCACCATAAATATATATTTATAGTGAGTTGGAGTGCTATGGGTTGCTCGTGATGAAGGATCAACCCATGCTCCTGGGAGACGAAAGGTTAATATCTCTTTGAGCCAATAAAGACATGTCAGAGGGCTGGAAGGAAGGGGAAAAATTGGCAGCACCTCTGTACTTTTCAGCATATTAAGATGTCATCATGCTTGGATTTTTAAAAAAAGCAAGCAATCCATGAATAATAAATAGAGCAACGTGCAGCTGACTTCAAGGAAAAGTTAATTTCCCTGGGGCCTGCTCCACACCATATACATTAAAAATCTTGCCTGCTTCGACAGCTCTATGACCTGAAGAGAGATGCTGAGAAACTGTTTAGAGCAGAGTCTGGCCAAGGTCCCGCTCTCAAATATGACTGGGATTTCTTTTTTGATGCTTTGATTCCCCGTCAGTGATGGCTTGGTCTGCCCATGGACAAAGAGGTGTGACTATGGCTGTTGGTATTAATATATACTGGGTGTTAAAAGAGTTGTTTGAAACTATAGTGGACAGCTTTTATTTTCAGGTGGCTTAGAAGTTGTGTGTGCACAGCCTGTGTACTGTGGGTTTCAGAGAGCAAAGGCTGTGTCAGTGCAGCAGGCAGCTCACCAGCAGGCATCAGCTCAGGTGGGAGGGAAAAGCAAATTACCCGTTTTCCACCCAAGGGCCTGGGCCTCCGGAGCAGTCTGGCTCACTCTGGCCTTTATGAAGATCATATGTTTGCTGGTGACACAAGGAGCACGCAGAGCATCTGGTGAGAAGGTGAGTCTGCTTGTGGGAAACAGATGCAATGGAAAACCTAGCAGGAATTCTGTTTCTCTTTTTTTTTTTTTAAATATGAGGAACTCAAACTTCTGTAGTTAGTTGCGTAAAGGGTTTTCTTACCTGGTGTTTTCCGACCTGCTGTGGAATATTCTGAGTGGGGGATATTCTGTGCAATGGTGCTGGCCTGCTGCAGACCTCCACTGGGACATGGTGGGCACGTGGGATGGGGCGCATGGGCAGCACGCAGATGGTGGGATCAAGCCAGGAATGAGCATCACCACCCTAGGGGGTGCAGCGGAGGAGAAGGGATGGGAGATGGGCATTATCCAAAGACGTGTCCTGGGTTTGACAGAGTGGTGGGGGTTTTGGTAGTGGTGGAGGGGGCTACAGCAGTGGCCCCTGGGAGAAGCTTTGCGAAGCTCCCCCCAGCTCCAAGTCAAATCTGCATCTGGCCTTTAGTGATGGTGGCCACGCCTCTGTGATAACGTATTTAAGAAGAGGAAACCTGGGAGGAGGAGTTGGAGTTGTGAGGAGGACATCTGTGTGAACACCTAGGTCAGTGGAAGGAAGGAGCAGGAAAGGAGGGAGGTGTGCTGGTGTACACCCCCCTGCAGCCCGTGGTGAAGATGGCAGGGCCACCCCCCCCACATGGGGGTCTACAGTGGAGCAGATGCCAACTGGGGGCCCATGGGGGGCCCACGCTGGAGCAGGTGGCTGTGCCTGAGGAAGGCTGGAACCCTGTGGGAAGAAGCCCCCACTGTTGTAGTTCAGTGCTGGGAGGATTGCAACACGTGGGGAGACCCGTGGGAAGACCCATGCTGGAGCAGCTCAGGAAATGCTGTGGCCTGTGGGAGGCACTCACGTCAGAGTTGGTTTGTGGAGGACTGTCTCCCATGAGAGGGGAATCATGCTGGAGCAGAAGAGTGCCACAAATCGTTGTTCCCTCCCTGCCTAAAGGTGGCAGAAGTGGCAGGATGGACTGCACCCCCCTTTCCCTGCCACTGGGGGAGGAGGTAGAGATATGAGGATCAAAACTGGGCCTGGGAAGAAGGGAGGGGTGGGGGAAAGGTGTTTTCAGGATGTGGTAATGCTACTCACGGTCCTACTCTGTCTGTTAAGTGTTGTTGTTGGTAGTGTTATTAGTTTCTGTATTAAATTTATATTCTTTTTTTTTCTTTCCCTAACAAGTGTGTCTTTTGCCCGTGACCATAATGGGTGACATCTTTCTCCGTCCTTATCTCGATTCCCAAGCCTTTTGCTTCACTTTCTCCTTCCCACTGCGGGAGGGGAAGGGAGGAGTGAGTGGTTGCAACATGCTCAGTTTCCGTCTGAGTTCAAACCACAACAAGGGGTTTTTCTGCTACTATCCTCAAACAAATGTGGAAAAAATGCATCTCCCTCTACTTCCTGCCCCTTCCAGAGCCTCAGTCTGCCAGCAGAAGGAATTACAGCCACTTCCAAACTCTCTGGACCCCCTTGACTTTCCATCACTTGTGCAGCCCCACTCCTGCAGATGCATTGCCTCATGTCAGGCTGGCATGAGTCCATATGCTTGGTTTTTCTAATTTTTAATTCTCTGCTTATGTTGGGCAATGCTTGACCTGGTGCTGTTCATCTTGGATTAAGTTTCTGCTGTAAACATGGTGGTCTGATGTGGGATGTCCAAGTCCGAGGTGATGGCAGAATCTTGGCATCTGGAGAGAGCTGTTCCCCCGTTAGCTGTGTAGGTGCTGACTGCTTGCACCTGGGGTCTTCTGGGTCTGAGCAGAGCAGGTTCCTGCACGGTGAGTGCCACCCCAGGGAAAACGTGGACTTCTTCAGGGTCAAAACACCCCTGTTTTCTCAAATAGCATCAAAAAGCAAATGACCTCGTTACTACTTTCTTCCTTACTGAGTCATTCCTGAGCTTGTTCCGGTAACTTTGCTCGTGCCACTGACTAATTTCTCCTTAACTCTTTCCCCCACCCTGGCCTTTCAACTGGAAAAACTGGATGCAACTGGGTTGGTTTGGGTTTGTTTTTTTTCTTAATCCTGAGTTTAGCGTGTCGGGCTATGCCAAGGGTAATTAGGACTTGTGTCTGACTCTTCTGGCGACAAGGCCGGGGGTGGCAGTGGGGCTGTGCCCGCCGCTCCCGGGGCAGGCCCAAATCTCCCACTGCGGGACTCGAACTCGCATCTCCGCTTCACCAGGCCGACACCTTCCCCCTCGCCCACGGCCCTGTCTCT